AGGGCTTCTGGGGGCCTATATCTAGGGCTTCTGGGGGACTAGATCCAGGGCTTCTGGGGCCCTATATCTAGGGCTTCTGGGGGCCTATATCTAGGGCTTTTATGGGCCTATATCCAGGGCTTCTGGGGACCTATATCTAGGGCTTCTGGGGGCCTATATCCAGGGCTTCTGGGCGCCTGGAACCAGGGCTTTTATGGGACTAGATCCAGGGCTTTTATGGGACTAGATCCAGAGCTTCTGGGTGACTGGATTTGGGCTTTTATGGGCCTATATTTAGGGCTTCTGGAGGCCTTTTATCCAGGGTTTCTGGGTCCTGGTTTAGGGCCCCCCCCCCCTCCCAGGCAGACACAGAGAGAGCCCCCTGTGCTCTGGAGCTGTTCTGGGCTGTGATTGGCTTTTCCTGATATCATCCACTTATCCTTCACGGAACAGGCAGCAGCCATCTTGCTAACGAGCGTCCGCGCTGCTAGCTGTGACAGCTAACGGCCTCGTTAGCGGGGGGGGGGGGTAATGAGTCCTCCCCCTTCCTCTGACCCCCCTCCCTCTGAAAAACCAACCACCAGTAGGAAACCGGAAGAAGTGAAGCAGGTTTTTACCTGCTTCTGGACCAAAGGTCAACATGTTCTAATACACCTTAAATAAATGGAGAATGGAATGAGGAAAACTGCTTGGTCCTTTGAGTAAAACCCTGCTGATTAGAGTCTGCATCAATTCATCCATCCCTTCTCAAGTGGGGAAGCTGCACAAGTTAAAGAAAGAACTTGACAGTAGCCCATAAAAACCAGACCAGCAGCAGTTTCTAGGTCTGCTGTATGGACCAGTTTGCATTTAGAGGGAAGCACATGTTGGAATTAGCACTGTTTCCTCTCTGGCAATGCCAGAATCTCACCTCTTTAACCCTGTAATGCCAAATGTTTCATATCTGATTCATACGGTTTCTGAAATGTTTTGCGTCTGACTCCTTTTGCATAATTTAATGTTAAAAACTTTGCTCAAAATCCTATTGAACACAATCAGATACACCTGATAACAGGGGGCAGAAGATACACAAAAAATAATCTGGACTTATCACATAAATGATTAATATAAAAAAACTTTTAAAACATATTTTGTTAAAAGGCAAAGTAAAGACTAAAAACAAAAAAAAAGTAATTTTCTGTTTTGTTTTATTCTTGGATCAGGCTTTAAAGGGTTAACCTCAGACTGTCACAGTAATGGTTCAAATGTAAGACTGCTTTTTTCTTTCAGTTTTAACCTGACTATACAAGACATAATAGATTTTCCTAACAATCAACATATACCGAACCGAACCCAAAACCGTGAATAGAACCGAACCGTGGATTTTGTGAACCGTCCCACCTGTTAGAACTGGGCTATAATTACTTACTTTAGCATAGCATGCTATAACTTAATCCATGTAAATGACTGATTGTATTATTCCTTTTAGATTGATATTATTGCCTTTATAATTCTACTTTTGGGTTAAACTCTCTGGCTGTGCTTCCTTACTCTGTTACAGTATCTATCTATCTATCTATCTATCTATCTATCTATCTATCTATCTATCTATCTAGCTATCTATCTATCTATCTATCTATCTATCTATCTAT